TAAACCATAAAATCATCCTGTTCTTTTGTCATTCGTAGGTAGAATTCCTTTTTATCCTCTTTCAGTGATTTAGCTGGCGAATTTTCGCCAATAGGTGCTCTAGTTTGGTGATGGACTGCGCCGTTCATGATGCAAAAATGTGCTTAGTAATCAAAAACAGTGTAAACGTAGCTAGTATGCCTATGGTTTTACTGTGGGGGATAATGTCCAATTTTGGGGTATGGATGCGATTTCAACTCGAAATAAGTAACACGTGTATGTATGGTACGTGTAAGTGAAGTATATAATCTAGGGATAACGTTAAGAATATTAAGTTTATATTTAAACTAATTTAAAGGTACGTACGTACGCAGTTGCTAGTCGACGATGTTTATTCGCACTTGATCACGAGTTTACGTTTTATTTTGACTTTCGATCGAGTTTGCAGTCACTGCGACGCTTAACCTTCTACCGATATTTTGAGGCAACATTTTCTATAACACTTGTTTTATGCATGTTCCTTCCATGAATTAAACGAAGACGTTTTATGGCGTCATCCCATTCCAGGTCCAAAAAAAATGTGACGTAATTAGAAAACAGATGTAAACAATCAGTTATATTATGATGAATACAGAACCTTTCTCATTAATGAATATATGCTTGTTGACATTTATCACCAACCCTGTAAGCTGCAGGTTACTAATGGCCTAGTTTTGTTTTTCAGATATTTGGCTGCGTAGCTGCATGTATTTTGGCCTTCCTTTTTGCCATAGCTGATGCAGAGGTATGTGTATAAATAGGTTTTTGTTGTTTAGTAAACAAAATTTTGATCAATTCTAAACTATATTGAATGGGGCAGTTATGTATTCCAAACTATTTACTGGTGTAACCTTGTTGCACCTACATAGAAAATGTCTACATTTTCATTGAGTATTTTTGACTTTGTGTGCCTACATTTTCATTATAATTAATTCGAAGAAGCGAATTTTTCATTAACAATTTTAGAAATCAGGTTAAGCGTTTTCGCTCAACCGTTGCTCAACTGATTATGGCATGTTAGGATCCTAATGACCTTTGTTTTTCTTCACCGTGCATTTCAAGAACTTTGTAGTCAATCACAAATACTACGATTATCAGTTGAGCAAGGCGGGATGAAAGTTTGGTCACCAAGTTTTAATGTAAAAATTGTGTTGTTGTCACGGGCAACTTACCTCGTTTCCGTTGGTAACAATATCAACAGCCGTTGGTCACCCGTCGCGTCGCCTACAATTTCGCGTGCTTTGCCGCCAATTGACGTCAAAGGCGGACAAGTTGCCAACGGATACGGAGCCAGTTGCTCGTTACAACAACACGATTTTTACGTTAAAACTTGGTGACCAAACTTTCGTCTCACCTTACTCAACTGATAATTGTAGTAACACATGTTTTAGTGCACAAGTTGTTGTCGCCTTGTTATAAAAGAATTGGTTCATGCTTTTAGCTGTGTGTATATCGAGTTATGGATGCACTTGGAAAGTTTGGAGAGCACTCAAGAAGCTAGAGTTGCGCTCGGCTGTTGCCTCGAGCAACGCTTACACTTCTTTCGTGCTCTCCAAACTTCCCGCATGCATCCATCACTCGATATACACACGCTAAGCATGAACCAATTCTTAAATGTCAGGCAGCCTTCGACTTGTTTTTGTGTGATTCAGTACTATTCATATATTAATGTCCTCAATGATGCTTGTATTAATATCCATTGACTAAGAATTTAGAGGATAAGATTCAATACATACATGTACATGTATGCATCATTATGCAAACTTTGTATGTTGGGGTATAATTTTCATAAAATAATTAACTTGCCTTAGGTTTCCAGGAATAAAAATGTTATCTATTGGTTGATCAAGTCATCATAAAGCTACAGGCCAATTTGCCACATTTTCAGAATTGCTGTGAGGTTCTTATGTTGCATTCTTATCTGTATCTTTTTTTCTTTTTAAGCCTGGAAACACTTGCAACTCTGAAACTCAGTTCTTGGTGGAACATAAGGATGGATCAACATCATGTGAAGATTGTCCATCTTGCCCTCCAGGTCAAACCCTTTCAATAGAGTGTGGGAAACGAATACTATCAAGTGCTTTGATAAAATGTGAACCCTGCAAACTTGGCATGTCGTTTTCAAGTAAGCATGGAACTTCCGTTTGTACCCCTTGTGCGTCCTGTGCAAAAGATCAGGTAGTGGTACAGAACTGCACTCTAATGTGGGACCTCAAGTGTGACAAAAGATGTTATGGCAAGGACAGGTATTTTTTACTTATTAACCCGAAACACAGGGCTGTAATAGGAGAATATCAACCAAAATGTTTCTGGCACAGACAAAGTGATATATATAGTCTACACAAGAAAAGACTGAGGATGATGTTCTCCCAATACAGTCCCAAGCTTGTTGTTGTTAATAATTGTAAGGTAATTCTTCTACTATCTGTTTGTGATATCCAGCCTGGCATTGACATGCATGTTGTTAGCATATCTGTTTTGCCAGAAAATCTTTCCTGAGATCAAGTAGCTCTTGTTTTTAAAACCAATTTGAGGATCTTTTATCAAAAGCAATTCGTACTTCTACATGTGCATCTGAAAAAACATTCTATTGTGTATTTCAGTGAAAATGTTTTGGTCAAATCAGCCCTATAATACCAAGAGGGTGTAAGGCACTGGTGACCAAGGTGCCCTTCAAATTCATTTCACGTCAGCTTGACCTTGATAATCATGTGGTGTTACTATAGTAGTGACACATGGCACTCGGCAAATACAATTGATTTGAAGATTTTACAAAGTACATTATGTTTTAGATATTGGCAGATGCTTGTATGCAAAATTTTCATTTTCATGTTTTTCATTTTTGTTACTGGACAGGTATTATGATGATGACAAGGGAGACTGTTTCCCATGTGCAAAATGTTGTCAGGATAAGCAAGATGTTGTGGAAAACGAATGTAAAGAAAAACTGGGAACCGGATCAAACATGATCTGTTCTTTTCACAGCAGTATAAACCGGTGTGATAAGTCAACACCATTTTCACAGGAGCCCACCTCTACCACAAATCAGGGTACAATTAGCAATGATTATACAAGTCCAAACCAAAGTTCCAAACATGAACACTCTGTACCACCTACTGCCCAACCCAGTCATCATTTCACTCAAACAGAAACAACAAAGCATCAGGACTTACTGATTACAGTCAGTATTTCTGTGGCACTGATATTAGCCCTGATCGGCCTAATAATAATTGCTGTTTATTCGTCTATTCACAAGGCAAGGCAAACACACAGTTACTTGTGGTGCAATTGCAATGCTGAAACTGGTGTCGCTGAAATGGAAAATGGTGCATCTCCGACTTGTAGGGTGCATTGTAAACCATTTAAGAGAAATCTAGGTAGGATTGCAATGTATTACTAATTAGTATTTCTTAAAATTACTTGCTGCTTTAGCTAGGCTGGTCCATATAGGAAAACCCTGCACCCTCAGTGTCAAGTGTGGCCCTAATGGCTTAGAGCTTTTAAGCCATTCTTAAATGTAAAACCCTCTAAATATGAACCTTAGCTGCGAGCCAGAAGATAATGTATCCATATTACACAACTGTTTTTATTTGATATTCCTTTCTATTCTTTTATCAATTGCGTACTGTTATGTACAAGATGCGGTATAATATTTTAAAGCGATTTTTTATTTCCTAGTTATTTCAGATTATGTTAGAGAGTAACAAACAGTGAAAATAAAATTGTAGCAAAAATAAATTCATACCATAACATACACCTCATTTTACTTGTTGCAAAAGCTAGAAGAGCCAATAATGCCATATGGTTTGCAAAGCTTTTGTTGACTACTGTTTGAGTTAATTATTGCCATTAAAGTTAAGGTTACACAATATCTTTGCAGGTGCCCCTCAGAAAAAAAGTGTTGTTTTTAAGGAAACTTAACCACAAACTATATATCAGTAGAAAGGTTATGAACAGTAGAATCTGGAAAAAATATCCACTGTTTTGGCCGTGCCTTTGTTGAGAAGAAAGAAGCAGGGAAACGGAACATATGCGCAGTAAGAACACGGGTATGAGTATGCACGATCCCTTGCCGCTGTCGGTCAAAGTTTTCTTCGTTTTTTTGAGAAATTCCACTTTTGTCTTCTTCTTAGGTCCTGTCTTTGTTTTTTTTTTTTCTGTCCAAGAACTTTTCTCTTCCTTTTTTTAGCACATTTCATGACCTCAGTAAGGAGTGATAGGCAGCATGGAAGAGGAAATTAATTTGAGAACACAACTGCAAAATGGCGTGTAAACAAGAAAATGTTAATGAGGCCCTTGTAATAAGAGCTATCGGATGAAACCATTTCGCACAAAAAGCCGATGTCCAATGAGGATTATGACACCTGACTATTTTATTTACTTAAATGAATGAACCTTTTTTTCTAAATAACTCGTGCACATGTTAAGATTTTTAACTTTCATTTTTTGGAAACTGTTAGATTTTCTGGTGACCTTTTTGGTTTGCTTAAAAAGAAAAATTCAACAAAAGAAGCACTCTCAAGGTATTGTGTAACCTTACATGTACGTTGACTTGCAAGTACTTCTTCCTCAACTGCAAGTTGTTTTTTCTTAATGTAGTACAGTAGTCTAGTTTGGAAAACGTTTTCTTCAATAAGTTTGTATTTCAAATTATACAAAATGTGTTTGTATACAAACTATATCTAGATTGAACATTTTATGTTTATTTAGTGTAATTATTCCAACAGATATGGTTGAAAAGGGGTCAGTGAAGAGTGACAAAGTTAAATGTGGCATATTGCCCACAGAATCAAGGGAACCACTGTTAGGAAAGGTACACTACTTATATAATATTTGGTCATGAGTTTGAATAAACCTTTTTATAGTTTCTTGTGGGATTCTTGCCATTTTATAACTGCATAGTATATACACGAAACTAATCACGGATGAGGTCTGGTACCACTGTCTGAACACAATTAAGGAAAAAATAATGGCCTCAATCTAGGATTATTAGTAGTTTATATGTTAATTGTGGGTAGTTCACAAGAGACCTCAAAAGAACAAGATAAGCTAGAACAATAAATTGTCTGAGTAGAAGTCATCTTCAGATTCAATGTAAGAAAGTGACAAAGGATGTGTTATGTATTGTACTGTTGCTATGGACAGGACTGTCATGACTTCTTGAAGGAAAAGGACACACTTGTTGAGCATAAACAAATTTGCTTTATGTTGTCCCAGAAAATATCCATAGCCCTCCCACAGAGGGGCTTTAGATTCAGACCCCCCCACCCCTCTCCAATTGCTCTGGACATTTCAGTTTTTGCTGATGTGCTTTCCTTTAAAAATTTGGGTTTTGAGATCCCCTCCCCCTTGGAATTTCCTACATGTATAACCCTCCTTGGGGTGGGTATGGATATTTTCTGGAACCACACATTGCAAAGAAACTAAGACTGTGCTAGCCTTTTCAAAAGTAGGAGTTGCAAAGCTAATTATATATTGTGTTGTTTACCATTACTCCTAAATAAGCAAACTAAAGTGTATAATTATTATTTTCTGTAGGGTAATCAAGAGGAAATGGCATGTTCTTGCCAACAAGGTGTGCAAGAAGGTGTGATGTTTTGCTCAATTTGTATAACCTTTGAACTTAATTACTTAACTCAGTGTATAAACTCCCTGTTAAAATATTTTTGTATTTCAACCTTCTCAAGATTTCAGATAACAACATATGTAATTACATTTAAATTTTTAATCTATTAGTGTTTGTTAATAGCCTTGAAATGGCTAGGTTTTTTTGGAAATGGTGAATATTTAAGTATCTAATTTATAAGTTATGGAGAAATTTTCTATGACTTTTCAGGCAAATCTTAATAAACCTTTTTCACTATGTACTTACTTGTTGTGTCCAGTTTGAGTAAATGTCTCTAGAGCCAAGACTGAATAGGGTCTGAACAGTGCTGAAAATGTAGTTTTTCACTTGAAAGAATTTGCTAATATGGAATTCAATGTTAATTCCTTATTTAGTTAGTACTGAAACTGGTGTCACTGACATGGAAAATGGTGCATTGCTCACTTGTGGGGTGCATTGTAAACCATTTAATAAGGGAAATCCAGGTAGGATTATGATTTTTCACTGATTAGTGGTTGTTAAACTTATAATTATTTGCTGGTTAAGCTAGGCTGGTCCATATACATGTAGGAAAACCCCGCATCCTCAGTCTCGAGCGTGGCCCTAATGTCTTAGTGCATAAGGCAGACATAATTATTTGCTTTACTGAATGGGATTGCCATTCTAAATTTTAGAAAGTGACGTTTTTGTGCAGGAATTAATTAACAATTATTCACCGAAGTGGAGGTAAATATCCATCACTTTCACCGAAACTGAGGTGAATAATTGTCTTAGTATATACCACACAAGCTGAATAATTAGCAGACCAAACCGTTATTTTGTGTGACAAGCGGTCGGAAATTTTAAAATCTTTCGCGCCGGCTGCTCGGAGGTGAATAGTACTTGCTAATCACCTCCGAGTTAACCAATCAGAGTGCGCGTAAAGCACTATTCACTTGTGTGGTATATACTAAAATCGATTATTTGAAATTTTGTTTTGCTTAGATAGTTAAGAACATCTGAACTTTACAGCAGTTTAAGTGAGCATTTTTTCCCACGGACAAGTACATTCACTGTGTAATATAGCTGCAGCAAGATAGGACAAAACTTGTTTAATATATTTATAGAAAACAATACATTCTCTGGCTATGAACATGCAACCTGTTTTAAGACTTAGAGCATTTGGCTGTCAAAGTAAATACAAACTGAAAAAATCTTAGTGAAAATGAGGTTCTTTTCGAAAATAATGAAACTATAAAGCAGAATAATGAAATTTTACTAATCCCTCCACGTCATTTAATTTTTGACCCCTTTTTAGAGTCCAAGTTACTGAGTAGCTTATTGGATGATGCACCTTATCTTGAAACGATCTCAGAGTGTTTGGACACAACTTTGGCTGGGGCTGGTAACTACCGAGCAGTTGCACAGAATTATGGCCTCAATCATTACACGATATCCTCAGTCCTTGAAAAGGGCAATAAAGGGCCAACTACGGCACTTATTGAAAGCCTTGCAGCTACTCACACAAAACTAACAGTTCAAGAGTTTGCTGTTGTGGTGAAACAAAAAGCTAAAAGAAATGATGTTGTTGAATTGCTTGAAGCATACGATTCAGGCAAAAAATTAGAAGATGTAAAGAGGGGTAGCAATTGATTTGAATTTTTTTTAGTGTTTTGTAGTTTCATTAGAGGGAGTATTTTCATCTTCCAAAGGTTAGAGTTTCCCATAATTACACTTCTTAGATGATTATGCATAGTATGTTGATAAGTCCAAGATGAGTTCTTCAGTACTGGAGGAGATATTCAGTGGTGAGAAGCGATCTGAACGGATTAGTTAACGCTAAACGTTAGAGGGAAAGAAATTTCTAAATGTAGGTGTGGTGTCAAAGGGGAGAAACTCTAGACTGCACTGACTCCGAGGATGACCTTCCTAAATTTCTTTTAACCTTACACATTCTTTCCTCAAGTCGGCAGAATCTTGAGGGTATCTGACAGAAAAGGTTCGCATGTTATTATATCATTCGTAAAATAGCTGTACTGAGACTGTTATTTTTTCGTTTCTAAAAGCATTGCATTAATTTGTAATCCTTTTATTGATATTATTTTTTTATAGAATTATTTTTGTTCAATTTGTATTTTTTTGTATTTCAATATGTTGGCATGTTATTATATCATTCGTAAATAGCTCTGCTGAGACTTATTTTTTTCGTTTTTTAAAAAATTTCTTTTGTAATCCTTTTATTGATTTCTTTTATTTTTTATAGAGCTATTTTTGTTCAATTTGTATTTTTTTTTAAGTGTGAAAGGAAGCCTCTCTCAAACAAATATGTAAAAAAAAAAACGTACGCTGATCAAAGTGTTTTATATCGTGTAGTGCTCAGGCCGATCAATCTTAGGCTGCACAGGTAAAAGTTAGCGTGAACGAGAAATACTTTTGAGAAGTAAGCTTTGTCGTTTTGAGCTGTTAGGACATTTTTTTAAATTAGTGTTATAGATTATTACAAATCAGTGGCGGATCCAGACTTTGAGCTAAGGGGAGGGAGTTGTTTTACTTGCCCTGCCGGCTTTTCGTCCTTCAGTCATTTCTTTTTTCACCCAAAATAAGGGGGGCTCCCTCCCCTAGATCCGCCACTG